ATTTTATTGATCCACTCAGGTTCGCATAAAAGAAAATCCGGAAACAAGACTAAACTTCGGGATCTAACGAACGTCAGCTTATTGTCTTTCCATTAGGTTTTCGTAGCCTGTGTTACTTCCGGAGAAATTCCGGTTTTAACACAGGCTACGTTTTCATTGTGGAAAAAAATCAATTTTGAACTTTGGCTTATACTTCGAGTACCGAAACAACGCCAATCATGATAACAGAGGAAAATACAATACAACGAAACGCAGAATGCAATAGATTTTGGGACACGAAGAAAGGCCCAGAACTTTCGACAGCTTACCTGCAATGCTAGAGAAGTTCACAACTCTTCCCTTCGCCTTTTTGATCAAAGGGAGAAAGTGTTTTGTCATGTCAATCAAGCCCCAGAGATTTACATCGGCCATTTTCTTGTAATCATCTAAACTAAACCACTCCAGTGGCCCAAACGTCATACATCCAGCATTATTTATTAATGCCCAGAGACCAGTGGCAATGAATTATTGGATAGGGTTGGACATGATATTAAAAATTATTGGATGAGGTCGGGTTGATACAAGTTCAGCGATTATTGGATAAGATTTGGTTGATATGAAATATTTTCTTCTATCGAAAGCTTAATTCATGCTTCAATAAACTTATTATGGTAATTAGCACTATTTTGAGCATTATTAAAACGTTTTTATAGTTGACATGATTTTAATGCTGGCTTTACAAGACGATTTTCAGTCGACGATTGATATTTGAAAAATAGAATGCTAACATAATGTTTATTGAGGATCTCAAATCTAAATCAGACATTTTCGACCATGCACCAGGAAGGGAAGCTGAAAATTACTTTTTGGCGTCAAATTACAATCACTGAAATTCACCATCAACTGGTTGAACGATTCAGTCTGCTCCATAATCGAACAGCAAGACTACATATAAGCATTTTGCAGATACGAAACAAGCGAGTTGAATAAAGTTAAAGGAAACTTTGCTGCCGTTGTAAGGAGCTTATGGTGAGCATCATGGTTGGTATTGAGTGGCGCATCCATTTCCAAAAAGGATGTACATGCTTAAAATTTGTGATTTTGTGAAACGCGCATTCAATTACGGTGGAACTAATCCTTCAATTTTGGGCAGATCAACTTCATGGTAGACGGACGATCGGTGGAAAGTGACTGTAGTTCGTGGTGATAGTTGTCTGCACGAGACACGTCCTTACCTACATTTGGAGGAATTTTCTTCTGGACGATCTGAAGGCAATTACGAATTTGTGCAGAATCTGTAACATCCATAATGATCACAGTAAGTCTTCTGGTGCAGAGACGTTCTAAGTTTTCTTTCCCTTTTTTTGTTAAGCATGTGGCAAATACATTGAGTCCTAGTCGATCCAAACGTACGGCTGTACTTTTACCGAATCCGCTGTCGCAGCCAGTAATGAGAATGTATTTCTCATCAAATGAGGAAACTCTAGGCATTGGAAGAAGAATCTTTTTCAATGTAGTGAATGTTAGGAAAAGAATTAGTAATATCAATGTGATCAGCAAGGAGTTCCATTCAATCTCCATTTTCTCCAATCTCGTACCCATCGCCACTGTCCCTCTTACTCGCAGGCTCACAGGCTCGACGAAAAACAGTGACTCTGGAAATTTCGAAAATTTCTCGCTCTCTGATTGGCTCATAAAATAAACAGCTTGCCGCCGGAAGTGAAAATATCACGGAGAAAAACACTCAAATCATTCTGTATTTCGCTACCTCACCTTGAATTCTTCCTTTAAAAGCATTTATTAAGTCTATGAAGTAGGAATTTGAGAGTAATATGATCAATTAAGTATAAAATGGAATACAACGAGGCGACGAACTGTCACGCCATGATAATCACTAACCGTCACTGTCTGCTACTATCTGATCATAATAGATATCAAAATAGCTTCGAAGAAGATAGATTTATCATCTAAGGTCTAAAAAAATCCCTTTTCTGACTTCGAAGGTTTTCATTTAGCCGATTTTCTTGAGCAAAATCAGTAAAATAAAGCCGTTAGATCGGGTTTCTACTGCGCATGGGTGAAATAGCCAGTTTCTGACGTCCGGTGTTTGATATTTCCAGAGCTCTTGTTTTTCGTCGAGCATGCGCAGTAAGAGGGACAAGGGCGCTGGGTACGAGATTG